GTGCTTAGCTATTTTCATATGTGTATACATTGAAAGCTAGCTACACTTTAACATGAAAACTTTTGGCAAATTGTTGGCTCTCCCGTCCTAATTTTTAGCCTTTTTTTTCTGGTTTCTTAGAGGGTGTTTTTTTATAAAAATTTCCAATTCATACTCAATTCACATTCAAAATCTAACTTAACCTCAATATTATCAATATAACTAAATATTATCAACCAATCATTCTTACACATCACATCAACTTTAATTCACTATCCATCCACTCAAATAATTTTAACTAACCATCACTTCACATCATCTCTCTCCTATTTTTACATCAAATTAATTATATATATTTTATTTTAAATGTTATTTTAATATAAACTCAAAATCACACAAACAACTAACCATACCACATTTTTCAAATTAATTCTGGTTAACCAAAAAGACTCATTTCGAACAGATATATTTGTACCCTAACACGGCCTTTATTCTCTTAGATTTCTCCTATAATTCTAAGGGCTCTAGTTCTTTTAGTTTTCAACGGTTTAGGTTTTCAGCTATTTTAGTTTTTCGACTTGTATTTCGCTACCTTTTGAATTATTTTTAGCACAAAGATTTAATTTTAGGTACTGCTGGACAAATCAAGATCAACCAAGAGTGTGCTGTGCCTTGCACCTTAAAATCAATTTTTCAAAATGGAATCACAAACACCTTCAAATGCTTTCGCTAAGAAATTTGTAAGCTTTTTTAACATATTTGATAGCGTTAAAAGGTTCGAAAAGAGAAGGTAATAATAAGTCACGTTAATGACTTGTCATGGAAAAAGGTAGGGACCTGAGGGGTATGGTCAAAGCTGATAAACGCTTACTGTAACATAATAATATTCAATGAGTGAATTTACTTCTTGATGTAAACTGTTCAAATTCACTTGAGAAAATGGTTACCTGAGGCCTGAATTCTTAGAGTTACATATCGCGGCTCAGACTCCTTCGTACCATTTGAGAACAACTAGAAAACCAATGGCATCAGCACACGAGAATCAAAGAAAAGTTGGAAAAAAAAAAAAGTAGCAAACTGATACTATTGAACATGACAAACCTTATAGAAAAATGGACTCTTTGCTGCCAAAATTGGAGAGCTGATGTGGAGTGTCTTAACTTGAACTGCTGAATGATCCATGCAAGATAATTCTTCACTTCCTTTTAGATAATAGAATTTTACTAAATTTTGAAGAATAAATAAGGCAGGATAAGCATCTGATTGAGCTACTCTGATACTTTAGATGATAGAATTTTACTAAATTTCGAAATTATCGAGGAAGAATATTTTATATAGAGGACAATGTTTAGCAGGTAATAATCAACTCCAAGAAAGAATATTTATAATGGCACCAGATTCATGCAATGTAGTCTCTGCATCCAAAGGTGACTCTTCAACCATTGTAACAGCTTCTTCCTCTTGATTTTCATAAGCAACTGCTTCTTCCAAATCCAGCACATTGCAATTCAGATCATGTTCTTCACATTGTTCGATAGGTTCTGTACGGCAAAGAAAAAAAAAAGAATTGAAAATTTTATTGTGTCGCATCTTGTTACCAATGCATGACGAAGATATTTTGAAAATCTCCCCACATGTGGACACTAAATAAAACCTGTACTAGCCGCTAAATACATGCTAACCAAACAAACTCACTCTTCTGCCAACATTATGGAAATCATTACATGGCTGTATGAAATTATTGACAAGATCAAAATTCCCTTCAGTACGTTCTACCAAGCAAATGTCTTTCATCCCAATCTCCAAAGCTCATATACCGACAGAGGTGTATTCACATTGAACACAGAAAGTAAGGTATCGTATCACATTTTCTCCACAAATACAGACAACTGTAGTCCAAACTTTTAAAATCTCTTCCTTAAGCTAACCTTTGACACAACACATTTCGAAAATTCTAATGCACATGACATCCCTGATAAAGCCCAAAAAAACCACATTCTGATCTCGCCATTTAATCAAGACACAGCATCCTTGTTAGAAAATCAAGAACAGAAGAGGTACAAATGGATCACATCTGTCCACAGTTTCACATATAATTATAGTCCAAACATGAAATCCTTCAGCTAACCTTTGGGGTACACAATTCTCAGTTTCTAATGCACGTAACTAACATCCTCGATAAAACTCCGATAATCCCCAACAAAAACACACTCGGATCACCCCATTTAATCAAGACACAACATCCTCAGTTAGAAAATCAAGAACTGAAGAGGGCCGAAGGGATATCACATGTGTCCACATTTACAGTCCAAACCCGAAAAACCTTCCTTTAGCTAACCGTTGAGTGACACAGTTCCAAATTTCTAATGCACGTAACATCCCTGATAAAACTCCGAAAAAAACCCACACTCCGAACAACCCATTTAATCAAAACCACAATTAATCCCCCATAAGCACAAAATGATCGTAACAAGAAAATTACAAAACAGCTCATTTCACAAATGCACAACCAACCAAACCAACTCCGAACATAATATGAAAACGAAGTAATAGTGTGATACCATTTGCAACCGTGAGCTCATCGTCACGCGGACGTTTCCGGTTCCTGGACCAATCGGCGAGGCTGACGTCAGGGTCCGGTTTGGGAACGGGAAAATCGGGTATGATCTCAATCCGGAGAATTCTATCCGAGAAATTGACGTCATTGAACGCGAAAGCGAAGTCCGGAGAGGGCTCCGGAGACACGGCGTCTGGCAGCGCGAGGGGCTCCATCAAAAACTGTTCTTGGTTCAAATCAAAATCACCTTCTTTCTTTTATTTTTTTTCTCCAAGAACAAGGGACTATTATTTCCCCCTATCTTCCTTGGGGTTTGGAGAAAAGAAGAGTGCGCTATATACCTAAAGATGTTAAACGGGCTAGCCGGTTCGGGCTAAACGATTCGAGCTTAAAAACTCAGATTTTAACCGATTACTAGTAAAAAGACCTAATCCTAGCGGGCTTCGGGCTAAACGGGCTATGCGGGCTATAGGCCCCGTTTGGAATATAGCGGATTGAGGATAAATTAACGGATTAGACTTAATTGAGATGTTTGACCTGTCAAATCCGCTATTGAGCTTGTTTGGTAAATAGCTTATTCGATAAGCTTTTTAGGCCCAAAACTCTAATTTAGAAAAAGCTCATTAGATAAGCTTTTTGGGGATAGAGGATTCACAATCTACAATTTTAATTTAAAACTTTTTAATTTGTATTATTTTTTTTACAATCTACATTGGTTTATGATGCTAACAAATAATAATATGTCATCCACATGATTATTTATCTAGAAAAATGTAAAATTATAACTTCTTAATCAAGTGTTAGTAAATTTAAAAAAATTATAAATTACCAACTAAAAAATATTAAATGTTTTAATATATTATTACTAAAAAAATACACCCTGAATAATAAAATGTCCTTGTTGGTAATTTGCAATGTCAAACAGCTATAAGCTTTCAGCTATTTACCAAACACTTATTTAAAAACCATTAATGCAATCCGCTAGTCAAATCAGCTAATATAATCCGCTATCCGCTAATACAATCCGCTAATACAATCCGCTATCCGCTGATCGCCAGACAAGGCCATAATAATAATAATAATAATAATAATAATAATAATAATAATAATAATAATAATAATAATAGTAGTAGTAGTAATAATGTATCAAAAAAATATCAAAATAAAAATAAAAAAATTATAAAAAATTACAACGACTAATTAAATATTGTTTTCAACGGTATTCAGTATTTACCGTTCTATATATACAAGTACACATCATATATGAACTCACACTACAAACTCTTAAATAACATATTTTTTTTCAAAATAAAAAAAATATTCGAATTGTTACGCACAATTACCACCTTACTGCTTATTTTGTACACTTTGGAAATTTTTACGATATTATATCATTATAAATTCTATCACTATATTTCATGTGTTAGGTCTTTGTCTCATTGTTTCCTATTAGTCGTTCTGATTGACTTAAATATTTTGGTATGAAGTACAATAAGAATATTGTTAATAATTATCCTTCAAAATCATTATAATCTGTTACAGCTCATACTTACATGTGAAGTGGAATATCAAAATTGTAACATATAATGAATCTAAAAGCATATTACTTACTTGTTTTAACAATTTACAACGCCCAACTCAAGTTAAACGGGCCAGCCCTAGCGGGTTTCGGGCTAGCCCTAACGGGCTTCGGTTTAACGGTTCGGGCCTACAAAGCCCTGATTTAAACGGGCTACCAATTAAAAAGCCCTAACTCTGTTTTTTTCTGGGCTAAACGGCCTGCCCGTCGGGCAAAGAACTGTTTAACAATTCTAGCTATATATATATATGTATATATATATATAAAAAAAAACAAATTAAGTGTGCAATTTAAATATTTTTGGTATTTGTGTTTGTGTCTTTTTTCTTTTTATGTTTTTCTTAGGTTTGATTGTTTATGGAATAATTTATGAAATAATTTGTTCGAAATGAGTTGTTTTGGTTAACCATAGTTAATTTGAAAAATGTGGTATGGTTAGTTATTAGTGGAATTTTAAGAATGTATTAAAATAATTAAAATTGGATTGATGTAAAAGTAAGAGATGAATGATTGAAAATAATTGGAAATGATAAATAGTTAAAATTATGTGAGTGGATGAATAGTGAATTAAAGTTGATGTGATTTGTAATGATTGGTTTGTATTATTTAATTATATGAATAATATTAAAGATAGTGAGGTTGAGTTAAAATTGAGTTAGAATTTGAGTTGAAATAAAAGTGAGTGAATCTATACTTATCTAATAAGCCATCCTATTTACTATATTTAGTAGTAAGAAAAGTCAACATTAATTAATGTATCATATTTTTAGGTTAGTATTTTATTTACTTATTTTATTTATTTGTTTCTCCCTATTACATATCGGTTTAATAAAAAAAATTCCATAAAATTTGTTTTCTCAAAAAATTGTACATAAAATCAAAAAAAAAAAAAAAGACATATTCGATCGGTGATAAAAGATTTGATCGGTCAGAGTTATATCTTTATTTTATATCACACCATAAATAAAACAGATATCAAGCCTAAATTAAAGGATTTAGTTGCGTATTGATTTACGTAATTACATCTAATTTTTAAAGTTTGTATATATTCAAAATTCATTCTTATCATTTTATCACCGATCGGTTCTAATTGTATGGAAATTTGTTCAGATTTGTTTCTCTAAATGTAATCCGATTTTCGTATAATGAGATTTTTTCATAAAAATATTAACCGCTATTGTATTTATCGATCGAATATAAATTACAAATCTCAAAATAATGAGCCATCGTCTTCGTCCCTATCAACCTCCTGCGAACAAAAAAATATCTCCAATCAGTCTTTTGAATCAATGATTTGACTTAATCAAACACGTTAATAGGTCTATGCTGAAGGCTCGAATTGTAAAAATATTTTTTTCAAGACCGAGCAACACATACAAATCCTATCTCGAGTTGGTTCTTCATGATAAAACTGTAAACCAAATTATTCTTACCTTTTTTTTTTTAATTTCGAACTATGAAACATATATTTTCTATTTTTTTTTAATTTAAAATTTGTCTTCTTTCTTTTTATCGTATATGTTTTCAGATATTTAAATTATTTATATTTTTTAAAAAGTTAATTTTTTTATTGATTACTTTTTTGTACATGTTTAGGGAAATCGCATTACGACATAGCTACGGACAATCGACTTGGTTGCATTTAGAAAGAGGAATTTTGAGGAGGGCATGATCATTTGTATCAAGAATTATCAAGTGGACAACAATCTAAGAAAGTATCGTTCGACATCCGTGATTTTAAGATCATGCTACACGGGAGCAATTATATGTTGTTGTTTTGTGTGTAACTAATAGAAGAGTTGAAGATATTAATTTGTGAGGATGACGAGTTGCCCAATAATCAAACTCATAATGTTGTGAACAAGGAGGTCTTTCATAATATATGATTGTTTCTTTGTCGAATACTATTTTTTTGTACAATTTTCCTGGCGTATTATAAAACTTTTATTGAATATTGAATCTTATAATATAATATTACCCAAATAAAAATATCTCGTAACTCGCACAGGTCACGTACTATATGTATTCCGTACATTTTTTTTATTCATTTATATAATTATAAGGCTGGATAAATAACCTTAAAATTGTGCACCTCGTGCATCGCACATGCTCTGTACTAGTTATTTCATAAACAAACAAGCCCTTAGGTTCCATTATCCCCATATATTAATTCAAAATGTATTGAACCTAAATGACAAACTTGCATGCTTTGGGTTCATATGTGCCAAAATTACATGTTCGTTATTAGTGTTCGATAAATTTTAGTTTACTTCCAATCAAAAAATAATTAGGTTCGAATTATCCGTAAATATGTTGATTATTTATGGTCACATTATATTTTTTATATGTATTTTAATATTATTTCTTATTATAACTATTAAATCGTGAATGTATTTTAAAAGTTAATAACTTTTGTATTTTTTATTAGTTTTACATATATAATATATCAAATTAATTATCTCTTGATGGGTTTTGATTTAACATCCATATTGTATGTATAAAAAAAATAAACTATATTTATCTTTATAAAAATAATAAAATTGTGTTTTAATATTAATTAGAAAAATAAATTATTTATCAATCAATATATTTATATTTCAAGTAGTTATATGATATAAGTTATAAAAATCACTATAATATAAGCACAAGTAACAAGTGTCATTATAAAATATATAATAATTATTTTTTTGTAAACAAGTAAATAAAATCTAAAAAATAATGTTCCTCATTAATTTTAAAAATTTTAAAATAATTTTTTAACAAGTACCCGTGTAATACACGGGTGTTGTATTAGTTGGAGATAAGGAATGCTTGGATATGATATTTTTTTATTTTTTTTTTTAATATTTTTCTTTGGTTTTTTGTTAAGGATTATCTTTGAAAAAAATGGTATGGTTAGTTGTTAGTGAGATTATTAGTTTATATTAAAATAATATTAAAAATAAAATAAATAAATTTGATTTGATGTAAAAGTAAGAGAAATATAATTTAAAGAGATGACTAGTTAAAATTATATGAGTGAATAATAGTGAATTAACATTGATATGACGTATAAGAATGATTGATTGATATTATTTAATTATATTTGTGATATTGAAACTAGTAAAATTGAACTAAAAGCTGAGTATATTTGAGTTAAAAAAAAAAAAAA